CGCGCCTGCTCCCGGCCGCCCAGGGTAAGGGGCCCACACCTCTCGGCCCGAACGATTTTCTTTCTTGCCAAGAGCAATTTGTCTTCTTTCAGAGGTGCGCACATTTCATTACTCATTCTTTTTCTGGAGGTGCTGTCAATCTGATGCAACTTCCATTTACTAGTCTTTGCACTTATTTACTACAGATGTAAACCAAAGCCTAATTCTCATCTCCTTTAAAAACCGTGAGCTGCAATTGTTGCCATACTGCTCTTTGGAGACAGCACGTCCTTGCCTAGCTCTTCGCCGCTCAGGCTAAGAATGCACTGCTCAGACAGAGTCAAGCTGGAAGTTAGCAATTCAGTGCACCAGATTGACTACTGGTAATTTTTAAGAGGTATCTGTTTACACCTTCCTTTCAGCCTCAACATACCATCAAATAATTCATCAATTTTCATTTGGTTTGTTGTGGGGTTTTTTTTGTTTATTTTGTTGTTTTTTTCTGGCTTGGTTGGTTGTTTTGTTTTTTAAACAAAACTGCAAGCCGAGTATTACTTACTCATTTTCTACTTGGTTCTGTTGCTTCTGAAGAAGTTGCTGCCCTACTCAGCATCAAGCCATTCCCTTTGGCCAAAACAAGTATTTTTTTTAAATCCACAAACAACAAACCAAAGGTTCACCTCAATTTGTCTTGGATAAATACTCAAAGAAACTTTACAAAATGAAATGATTGCGATGTTGCTTTGGTCTTAGTGGGTTTAGCAGGATTATATCCTCATTGGTAAAGAATTATCACTTTCTTTCTCAACAATGACAAGAACATCAAACATACTGTCTATCAAACATATTTGCACTGCCTGCTGTTGCTAAGAACAGATTCCAAATATCTGATTAATCACCTTATATTGCAGGTATATCAACGAAGCTTATGTACCCACACACTTCCTAAGATACTATTAGCTAAGCCAAGCAAAACCCAGTCTGTAGCTCAGGCACCCAGGGGTGTACATGGAGGGAGAGGGCTGTGATTCTTCTCCTTTTATTTCAGTTTAGCTGTTCATCCAGACTTGGGGTTTGCTCTCTAGACTTGGGGTTTATGCTCAAATGGAAAGAAATCTGTACTTCAAGAAAAGCACTTATTCTCAAGCTAAGGTAGATTTTTACTGGCATACAGTTAATTTAGGAAGAGATGACTCAGATACCCAGATGTCCCTGTATCTCTGAAGTGACTGTAAAGGCAGTAGATTGGACCAAGTCACACATTGGCATTTATATTGTACACATTAAAGTAGCACAGAGAGCTCTTTCATTACCAGAACTCATGCTGGGTCCAGCAAGACTGGATCTAGACTACAAGATGTACCCCCACACTCTTTGTAATTGTAAATGTGAATCTGTGTTTGAAATTACTGCTAAGCTCACGGAGTTACCTTCTGTCCAACCTACATGAATGAGTCAACTGGAGTCCAAAGCAAGATAGTAAGCATACTCAGGATAATTCCTTTCCAGTTCTGGATCTGCAGCTAAAGATCCCTTGCAGGATGAGCTTCCCTGTTAATAATATGGATGGTGCCAACCTAGTTCATCCTCCAGGTTTACTGAGAACATATCTGGATTGCCACTTCAGTGGCCCTGCAAATATGCCCTTCCTAGTCCTCGCTGGTTTTCTGCCAAGGAGGGTCCTCACTGGGAGAACTAACTGTTCCTCTCCAAGCTACTGCCCTCTTTAAATCTGCTATGAACATCAGTTACCATTCGGCACAGAATTTTACCCTAAGGTGTTAAAATGAGTAAGGCAAACGAAGTCACTATGAGAGTAGTAGACCTGTACAGAGCTTTTAAAGATCTGAGCTTTACCTGTGTTCTGTGCCAGATAACAGATGCCCTGGAGTGTCCCAGCTTGTTTCGACAAGGTCCTTTGTCATAATGTATAAGGAGAAAATCATCCTACAAAATATTAAATGAAAAGGTAACCAATAAACACAAGTACAAACCGTTCTTCCAGTTATAAAGAACTATATTGTTTCCTTAGAACTTATAACTAGGAATTGCACAGGAACACAAAAGCTTAGTAAACTGGCTATGGCCAGGTCCAACTTTTCCAAAGTGCTTTGTTTACAGTCCTCTTCACAAACAGGTTTGTTTAGCAAGTGTTATACATCTGTAATGAATTCTCCTCCCAAAGGCTCTCAAGCTGCATGTTTAAATGCTAGTATGGAGTTTAGCAGGAGGATCCAAGAAGATAAGCTGACCATTGCATATGTTTTACACACATACAGAAAGAGCAAAGGAAAATGAACACTTGTACTGCAGACTTCCCAAAGTTCATTCTTTTTACTAGTCAAAGAATAAAAGGATAATACAGATTTTTGAGAAATTAGGTCCCTAATTGTCCTGCCATCCTTTTACAAACCAGCCAAGATAGCAGGCCTAGTACCAAAGGAACAATGGTTTTTAACTGAGCACGTGAGAAGCCTGTGACTCAAGGGCTGTTAGTAAAGCATTCACATGGGACAACCATAGGATCTGAATAGTCAGAGTAGCTTTTGGGAACGTAAAACACTTCCTCTGCTATTGTTAACAACACTATGAAATAAAACAGATGACATGGAAACAGATGTTGCATATTGTATATACTCTGATCCTTGGGCACGATAACAGGCTGATTTTAAAAAAACGTAAACATATGACAGCAGCAGCTTATAGATTGACAAATTCCTGGTGTTTGGAGAACATTGTGTTCTTTTTCATATGTCAGATCTATTTCTTGTCCTACAGAATACAATGAACGGTAAACAAATCTGACTGCCAGTCTCCTACATGGTGACGCACCAAATCTAGAGTTTGTTTGTTAAACTTCCACAGACTAAGAACATTGCTTTACTCATCCTGTAACTCCTTCAAGAAGGTGAGCATTGAAAAGTCAGTACTAGATGAAGTACTATTAAAAAAGAAAACAAGAAGCAGCAACTCCCCTCTCCCATGTTAGTTGTCATGTGAATATTGCAAACAGAATATTTTCATTAAATTTTACTTTTTAATAATTATTTACTGACTCACATAGCCAAAATGCTAAGATCACACAGGTCAGACAAGTAAAACAGAGTACAGAAATCTTATCAAATTGCCAGTGTCAGCCCTGGTGGGTTGCGGTTCACCAAGTTGGGCAGAAGCTGGTGAGCTACTATTTAACTGATTAATGAGACAGCTGGATGGCAAAGCAATGAACTTCTGAGAACCAGCCTGCATGGCATGTACTCACATCAAGAGATTCCAGACAGTACCAGCAAAAGGCATGTTTGCAGTTCTTACACATCATTTGGGCACAGCCTTCATCTCGTTCAATGTAAACTTTACACTTTGGACAGCGTTTGATTGGAGCATCATCTTCTTCCATTTTAAAAACTGAACTGTGGGAGAGAGCAAGGAATTAGTGCAATGCGTGGTCATGTCAGTTTAAAGAAGAATGTGTAAGAACTGTGCTAAGAAACTAAGCCTACTTTTTCGTTTTTTAAAAAAAATGAGAAATTACCAGAGATTCAGGTATTCAACTGAGTTTTATTTTTCAGATATTTTGGCTATACTCGATTTTTCAAAATTATCTCTGGAAAAAAATGTTTAATGACTACGGTACCTATGTAAGAGTTAGCCCATTTTCTTTACCACAGATTTTACCAACTGTTTTTGTTATCTAGTGATACATGTTATACAGTTTTCTCCTGGATCATATCAGATGAGCAGCAGCTAGTTCACACCTAAATGCTTTGCATATCTAGATAATTTTCCTTTTTCCTCCCTTCTTTCTCAGAAAAGAAGAGGAAGCAATTCCTTGATGGTACAACAAGCCCAGACCACATTCCTTCAGACAGGCGCACCAGGGAGAGATTGCATGTCTCTGCCATCCTTGAGGATCCTACCTAGGAATTTCCCTCCAAATCAGGAACCATGAGCTTTTTCGGGCATGCCATTCTTTCAGATTTGATCTCTTCATCTCTAACACGGTCCTAACAAGTCACTGTTCATGATTTAGGATCAGCACCATCTCTTCTTGTCTTGCACGACTATGCAAAAACATAGGATGTCCTCTCTTACAGTGGTCACAACACAGAGGAATGTGGAAACACTGGAAAAACATTTATTTCCCTTGCCTAGCTCTCTATCACGTGCAGGTTTTATGCACAGTAACAACTAAAATGTACCTTAAAAAATGACACCTTCTGCAGCCACTGCCAGTGGGAGATACAAGAACGACTGATGGGGAATAAACAGTTTGCTGGAAAACAGGACTGACCCTTGATTGATTGATTGATTTGCCCAATGGCAGGATAAAAGGACACACACTCGTTAATCACACTAGGGGCAACCATATTAAAGAAAAATGCTTTGAATCCATAAACTGTATATGAAACTCCAAACGCATGGTAGTACAACCTACTATGGACACATTATGCTCCAAAATGCTGAAAAAACAAATCTCAATGGAGTAAAAAATGAAGTACGAAATAAAACCTAAAAACAACTAAAACACTAAGGAAAATAGATAAAGTTTTTTGCCCTGCCATGAAGTTTAGTGAGCTTCAGTTCTGGTCAAGTACACACAAAAAGCATGTGCAAAAGTTACTATGTTTGACCAGGAACTCATCATGACAGCATCCTAGCTAGTCATCTGTTACAACAAAGGTTGAAAGAAGACAAGTTATGAATAGCTAAGTCCAAGGCTGGCCAGGGCTTTAATGATACCTTGAACTGCTACACAATCTTTGAAAAAGCCCAAAGATTAAGTGGAACACATGCACAATGCTCTTTCTTATTCACTGGGTGCAGTATGCCACTGCAAACAGCTTGAAACAGAACTTAAGATCCTTGGCCAAATGTGCAGCAGTTAGGATGATTGACAGAGTATCCTAAAAATCACTGTCTGGCATGACCTTACCAACCCTTGCACTGTCCACAATAGCAGCAGCAACAGGACAACAGGATCTTCTCCAAAGGGAAGCTCATGAGCTGCCTGATTATCGTATTTTTCCCACTGGGGCAAAAGGGCTGCTGATAGAGGCTCAAGCAGCTCCTTTGTGCTTTGCTGGGAATGGTGGCAAGGAGCTAGGCTGCCAAGAGCTATCCAGTTTTTGTATACATCATTAAAAGAACAGGAACGACTAAATGAAGGAAATAGCTTTAAAACAAAATATCAGGAAAATGCCTCTTTACTATTCATTCTCTGGTTTGTTCAAAGATTAAGTGTTTTGTTTCTAAATACTTGATCTTTTGTAATACTTTACCTTGTTTCGCCTGGAAGAAAAGAGATTGGCATGTTCTCTTGACAGCCTTGACCTGGATGCCAATTAGATTTGCAAGCAGAGCAGAACTCAATGTCGCAGGCTTTGCACTGGACCAGCTGGGGGTCCTGTGGGCTTGATTCCTGGAGCTGGCAAACTGCCTGGCAAGTAGAGGATGGACACCAAGTCCGACACGGATCCAAAAGCACTTCTGCGAATGGACATAAAAGAACAAAATTCAAGACCAGCCTTCCATAACAATGTATTCCAGCTAAGGTTGACTGGCAGGGCATTTGAAGACAAACATTTTCAGAAGAAACCTTTTAATTTATGCTACCCACTTAGGCATAAATCTGACCTGCTTTGCAAACAGGCACCAAACTAAAGTGAGTTTCCTGAGTTTGAATTAATTGCCCACTTTCATTCACTGAACTAAACTTGTTCTGAGAATGAGATGTTGTATTTTTCTTCAGTTGTACTTGAAGTTAAACAGAGCATACACTATGTAGGTATAACCCATCAGAGAAAGCCTTTACGGTGCCTTGCCCAGTAGGACTCTATTTCAAGTTGGCCTCTGCCCTAATGTAAGCACATAAGACTGTTACACAGTTTCATCCCTTTCTTGGAGGCTGCTTACTGGTAAGTCATTTCATGTTTCAAAGCCCACTGAAGTCAATAAAAACCTACCGATGACTTCAGTGGTTTCTATGCTGGGCCCTTCCCTAAGCAAAACTTTACTGTAAGTTCTCTATGGCCACACAGCTCCACATCCCCATAGGCACCCAGTCAGCTTATATCCTCATAAAAATTAACAAGGTTCATGTTATCATTACACACAGGACTGCCCAGTAATTCTGCATCAGATGCCATCACAGGAGATAATGGTGGTTCCATAAAAGGGGTCAGTCTACCTCCCCAGCCCTTAAACTGGTAGTCAACTCAAACAGTAAAGCTCAAAATAGAAGTCACTCCCTCGCTTAGTTATAGAGCAATATAATACATAGCAATTTGCTTTCCTTGGTTTATTCCCAGAAGGTTGCAGTTTTGGGAATCACGCAGGAAAGAACAGAAACAATGTTTTTTGGTTTTGTTTTGTTGGTTTTTTTTGTGATGATCAAACAATTAATACACAATGCTACTGCATGGACATGTGCAGAGCCAGATTCTGATCTATGGGATTTCTCTGGGTTGATATTCTTCCCACAGCCTTGCAATCAGTAGCTTTACATGTGTTACCTCTTTCAAACTGTAGTTTCTTATATCTTTGCATGATTTCTGATGCAACCATGCACTCAATCTGTTGAAGGAAGGAAAAAGAAAATTTCCAGTTAGGAACCATAATAATCTAAAGCATTTTTAACTAATGTAGACTAAATATTTGACCTTTAGAGAATAATTAAAAACGTTATGTTGGCAACAATGGCAACTGTAACATACAAAGCAAGACACATTTAAAAATCCCATCCTGGAAAGAAAAAAAACCTATTTGCAGTAAAAGCGTACCTCATTTTCTTGCAGATGACCTCGCTTTGGGCAGGCAGCATCAGGGCAGCTGATTGCTGTTTCTAGACCTTCTTTGATCAAAAGTTCCACATACTGTTTTAGGCACTGTAAGAGTCAAAGACTGAGTTAACTATCCCACCAAGAATAAACCACTCAGTATTTTAACACCTTTCCTCTGAAAATCTGAAGAACTCAAACTTCTTTGAAAAACCAGATACTACTGTGTCCCTTTTACAGCCATAGACCATGCTTACAGCCTTTGCCATGGCTATACCTCTAAATAGAAAACAGCAAGTTCATTTCCCCATCAAATAACTCTTCCTCAATTTAAAATACGCAGCAAATTAAAAAATAACAATAATGGAGAAAAGGATAAATCAAACAGGGAGCTAGGAGGGGAAAAAAAATAATAAAGCACCACCAAGATAAAATTAGATTAACCACACTCCAAAAGTCTTTATGTGACTGGAAACCACAAAACAGCTTAGTAAGCAGAAACTACCCATTGACAGACATCTGTCAAGCATACCAGAGAGCAAAAGGGAGTGGTATATCTTGCCTTCTATTTCTAGAAAATAACTATCTGAACTTCATGGTTAAAGATATATCTTTTCCATAGGAAGGAAAAAGTGAGAATTAGGACTCCCAGAAGAACTACAGTTTCCATGGGGACCGAATAATAAATATTGGTAATACTAATACTTTTATCCCCTAGCAACCACAGCATTTTACCCAAGTCATAACTGAAAATGTAGCTTCTAACACAGTAGTGCACAGCACAACCATCAACAAAACAAAAAAGAAAGGTAGATATTTAAGACTAAGGGCAAATTAAGACTAAATCTTGATATTCTTGAAGAGCAACCACCCCCCTCCATCTCCATGCTTCCCACATTAAGGTGACAGCTACTGCGTAGGTGTCTGCTGGGGAGGCAAGGGGAGTGATGGAGAGAGAGAGATACCCTTCTCTCTGCGGGTACCACACTTCTACCAGCCTGATGCTACACAGAAAGAGCAAATGAAGGTTTGCTTTCCAGTGGATGGGTCACCCTGTGATCTTCTCACCCTGCTTGTGAGCTCAGCTGGCAGTGGCAAAATGGAAACAATTACAGAAAGTAGGCCTCTAACCCTTTGTTACCAGATACGTGAATAAAGAGTGAGGTTAGACCAACAGCAGAGTGAAATGAAGATATAGAACAAGCTCAGCATACAGCTGGGTGGGAGGCGAGAAGGATTACACACACTGCAGCAAGCTGGCAAACAGGGACTTCAATTACCATTTCCAGACAGAACTTGCAAAAGGTAAGCAGCCACCGACTCACCATCAGCCTGGGAAGGCAAAGGGCTGCATTGACCTTGCTGAGTCCAGCGTGCCAGACTGCAGGTCAGACCACAAAGCCGCTTCTTCCTTCCAACCACGACATCAAATAGGCCCATCAACGAGCACTTTTCCAGCCTAACCCTTTGCGTGTGGCTTGTAGCTGCTAAGGTCCAGAATTTGAGTCTACTTAATCAGCCTCTTCTCTTTCTGTTCTGCCTCTTGATACATCTACTCAGCTCCTTTCAGAGAGCCTATCACCTCTATTAACGTTTTATTCTAGATTTTACCTCTCGCAGCTAGATTGCAGCAAAAACTTCCCTTCCCACCCACACAATTTCTGCTGCTCTGGTACACAGCTTTTCTGGTGGCAATGTGCCACCACCTTGACAGTACAACAAATCATTTCTGTCAAGGTCCCCTTCCCTGTGTCTCCTACTCAACACAAACAACAGGCCTATTTTTTGGAAAAGAAAAACAGAGACTGGATAAGTGACATCTTTAAAAGTTTTACATGTGTAAAAAATCCACATGAAAGATTATAGCCTATGATTTCTTCTTTATCAGTAGGGATTTAATGAAGACAACTGTTCAATCAGTAGTTGTTTGACTTGCAGAAGGTTTCCAAGCCTCCACTTAGAGCTCTGCAGGGCTAGTGGTGCGCAGTTCAAGAGAATCATTAGCAGCAACCACAGCAGACTGAGCTCTGCAAGAACCAGACCCTAGGTTGTATGCCTTGGTATGCTGTGATTTCAGCTGTAGTGAGGCATTAGTCTTTCTATAACGACACCATTGGCTCTTCTCTTTCCCCTACATTCGCAGATGCCAAGTGTGGATTAAAGTGAAAATGCATACATTTTTAATGCCAGCACTTAGTGCTTATAGAAAGTACTTTTCAAGCTGAATGAGCTTTGCCATCATTAATCATTAATGCGGTTAATTCTCCTCTTCAACCTGTTTGGGATCATCGCCAAAGCCTATTCAATTTGCTTCCTTTTCCTCACATCTTCCACGGAATGACACAGTTCATCCCTGTCATGAGCAGCGTCCAAGGCCTTCCCCTTCCCCTGATGTTGCACTGGCCCCTACTTCCTCAAAACTAGCCAAAGTGGATTTCTTACACTACACCTTCTGGGAACATAATGCTGTCTCGAGGCCATGAGATACCACTGTAAATTATGCAGAGGATAAAACACCCTGTCAACTCAAGACTTCCTCACTCCAGAGATTTCCTGGGTGGAGGAGGAGTAACCCAAAGTGGTTGCAAGAGAATTTGAAGTACACGGTATCTGTGGCTTATCTTCAGAGTGGACACAAGATGTGCCACTCATGTCAGAAAGTTTTAAACTGGCTACAGTACTAGAAATGTACCAGCATGCAAGCAAAATGCAGTAGGACTAGGTACTCAGTTATATATTTTGAAAAATTCATTTCAAAACAACTCTAAAAAGATGACAAATTGTTGCTCATTTTCTATGTAGCTTGTAGTTGATCTCATGCTAGAAGAAAGTATCTTCATAGCCTTTCCACTAAGGCAATATAGTACTGTATAGGATGAACAAAAAATGTGGGAGTCTAAGCCACCCCAAACAACTTTAAAAATGAACTGTATTACATAATTTTTCTCAGAGAAAACAGGAACTGAAATTAGGTACCTAAGGGCTGAGGTTGGAATAAGGTCACAAGATATACTTCTTATTGTACACTGAATCTTATAAAACCAGTATGCTGCGTAGCATCTTTATTCTTCCTTTAATGGATGTGTGTCAATGGAAATTTACTTTTATTTGAAGCAATACTTTTACTAAATTCCGCTTGTTTCTTTCTTTTAAAAAACCTCACTGTATTTCAGTAATTTACTAAATATTATTTAAGTAAATCACACTTGGAGATACTCTAAACCTATCAAAAACTGGTAGTGGTTATTCTGTACATTTCTGCTTATGTATACAGTCTGACATGATGAAGCCAAGGTAGGACTTGACATTTCACAAAAAATATCTCTTTGCTGAATTAAATAGGTTATAGGAGGAAATGTTTCCTTCGCATTCTGTTTTGTACTTCCTTTCTGTACTTTGACAATCTTCACCTGGAATAAAAAAGACCTGCCTAGCCAGCAAGAAGAGAGGACCAAGCATGTAAGTTTTCAGTCATTCGTCCAGCTACAGTAACAACCATGCATGTGCTCCTACTCCTTTCCTAATCCAGAACTAAAACATGTCAGTTTATAACAATTGTCAGGCAAGTCACTCTATTTTATGTTGCAGTTGCAACAAGTCAACAGGTAGTTGTAGTAGCTTAGACTTCTGTCCAGCATGCATACTCTCCGTATACCTAATGACTCAGGAGGAAAGGAACAATTACTATATGACGGCACCCTGGGACACTGCTAAGGTTGTTTGAGTTCCTTAACTATACAGATGTATACTTTAACATTCATTTTACAGCTTCATATATTTTTAAATTAAAAGGAGATTGTAATATACAACCATATATGAATGTTAGATTGGGAACCCCATGAAAACTGCCACATAATTTTGCAATTTCCCGTAGACAAGGGAAAGCAAAGCACTGCACAACATATGTGTTACACATAAATTATATAGAGATTATGTAAACTGTATATATAAGCCACATATATATAAACTATATTTAACACTTTATGTAGGGTTATATTAACTGCAGGTCAAGATGCATCACATGCCCCAACTGCTACTAAGATCAGTCAGAAGAGACAGGTTAGCTCTCCCGAGAATTATGGCTGTAATTTCCCTGTGTATGCAGACTCCTTCTGCATCCCTGCTCTGTCCTCTTTCTGCACATCACCGTTGTCCTTTCTGGTGTCTGGATGACTTTTTCTTTCACCTGGTAAACTCAGAGTCCTCCTGTCATTTGCTGTCCCCATGACAAAGGGCAGGAGCACATCCTCTTTGAGGAATTTTGGCTCAGATCCATTCTCTCACAAGGATCAACTGAGTGCCCAACTCGGCAAGGGTTTTACTGTCAGCTGCTTATATAAATTAAGAACATGTTGATTTTTTTTTTTTTCCTCAGCCTCAGAGATAGATACCTAATAAAGAAACAACTTCCTTTCTGAAGCTGCCAAGCAGAGAGAGTAACGTTTAAAGCTCTGCAAGATGTGTCGTACTTCTAACCCTTGTATACCAAGGATTGTGCCACACAGAAAACTATATTCAGTGACCATTGATGTGCTGTTGCTTTAGAGCTGCACATCGTTTTGTCTAACCTTATAAAGGTCAAAATATGCTATGAGAATCAAAATTTTCTTTTTTTTTGGCCTAATTTCCAAACCATAACCCATAATTTTACTCTGCTGCATTTAACTCTAACAAATCTGCACAGGTCACAGCAAAATCTCAATATAAAGAGTTAAAATGTCTAGCTTTTAATTTACTTTTAGGAGAATTCAAGCAACAATTACATCTATTTCTGATTGTGGTGCTTTGACTTATTTCTCCTGACACCTAAAACCAAATAAAACACAACATTATGCATAAGAAGGAATCTGACTTTCATTGTTTCCACGTGGGGCAACATTTATCTGTCATCTACTTTGACAGAAAAAAATGCGTTCACTTGGTGCCTAAGGTAATTTTACAATACAAAATCCACATAATTAAAAACATTTGAAGACTTTTTGGGTGAATATCTTCATTTTTTAAAATAGAAGAGCATACCTTTTCGAAAAGTTGTAACAAATTTACTTTTAAGAACATGTTATTGTTACTATCGCAGGAGACAAGGAATGACTTTTCAAGATGCTACC